TGGTTCTTCAGGTTTGAATGTTCCAGTTTACTTTACTGTTACGAGATTGCACTCTAGCTTTTGTTAATTCTTCCCACTTTATTTTATTTTAATTTATTCTTAAAATTTAGCTGCAAGAAACAGTCGATCGAAGTTGTCTTACCTCAAGCCATTGTAGACTACAAATATTTTGCACGTTTCTACTTAGTACATGTTGGAAACGACTGTTTAACCATTCTATTGTTTTTTTTATCTCTTAGTTACTTGATTAACCTAGTTGCCTTTCTTTTTAGCAGTACACATTCAATGTGGTTAAGTTGCATCCTTATGCAGGTTGTAAGTTGTAACAATTTCATGATGCTGTCACAATGAACGCAGGAAAGTGCTGATAATGTAAATCCAGAGTCAGGTTCTCCTTCCAAAGATATGCTGCTTGAGGAGGCATGTAAAAAGTATGAGGAGGCTACTCGTCTTTGTCCAACACTTAACGATGTATGTTTGACTGCTATTGTTTATGGTGTTTTTGTTTTGTGGCAACCATGCTATTTTATTTGTGACTATTTAATGACAATAAGAATGTGACACAGATACCATTGGTGCTCTAGGATAGAAGTTGGTCTTATCGCGGTTTAATTCTAGTGTACCGTCTTTACATTTGCTGCCATGTTGTTGAACTGATGTTTAATTTTGCTAAAAGAATGTACTATTATCCTCCTGAAGATGATTAATTTGTTGTTTTTTTTTTTAATTTGGATTGTTGCTATTACTATGAGTGAAGATCTTCATATTTTACTCATGTCAGGCTTACTACAATTGGGCTATAGCAATCTCTGATCGGGCGAAAATGCGTGGTCGTACAAAGGAAGCGGAGGAACTCTGGGAACAGGTTGGATAATCTTACATTCTGCACATTGTTTTAATAGCTTGATTGAGAAATTAATCCTTGTGTTTTTTCCTATGGCTCAATTGCTTGTTTCTGTTCTGTTGGTTCAGATGTCTATAGTTAATGTCGTGAAATATCTCTCTCCCTCACTCTTTCTGTATATTGTACGTGTCTTCTTGTGGTGTTGTGTTTTTACTTTTTCAATCCTTGAAAGAGTGCCATTGATGTATAAAGTTATTAGTCTTATCTATTTCTCTTCAAAATAATAAAAAAGGAGTCTTATAATGTATCTGTTTAATTTTTGAATGATGAATCTCAGTAGGTAGACGGAGAGAGTATGAACAAGAACAGGGCAAAGATGCTTCTCGTTTGTTTTCTTTTGTCTGTCTTGTTGATTATCTTTACATGATCTATGCGGTGGCATTCTCTGGAATTCAGGCTCATAGATTTGTGGATAATGTGTTATTCTACTGATTAACCCATTCAGACAATTAATAAATCACTAGGTGATGGTTACAAGTGTTGCGATGTAGCTCTTCTATTACACCAAGGACCAACAAAGTCAGATTCATCAGAATGTCATTCTAATTATGTTTATGAGAGCCAAGATAGATATATCAAATCCACTTGGAACACAAACAATAATTAATCACAACACACTCTTATTTGGATCTTTTTTCTGTTCAAGTAAAATCTGGGTAACTCTCATAGAATCTGAATGACCTCTGTTTATGTGGTGCTGTGCGCTGGTGAAAATGTAGTGGGAGACTAGGCTGCTAGCTTCACATGTTCCTGGACCGATTTTTTTTTTATTTAAACTAACCTCTTCAATGAGATCCATTTTTGGTGCGGATCCCTTGTTTATTGCATACACATAGCATGTCATTTTTTATATGAGTAGTGTATAATAGCAAAGACGACAACAACGACGATAATTCCTTCTGCTTTTTCTTTTCAGGCAACAAAGAATTATGAGAAGGCTGTCCAACTCAATTGGAACAGTCCCCAGGTAATATTTAAATTTCTTATCTGATATGATGAGTTACCCTTTCATTAACAATACCCTATCAATTTCTGTGTCATGCCCATGGTTAGATTTCTTCATTAAGCATCTTAGTCTACATATTTTTCTATTGTCCCAGATTTCCTTCCTTCTAGAGATTACATATCTGTGATGTGTAGTTTCTCTTCCTGATATTTACTAAACAGAAGATGAATTTACAGGCACTTAACAATTGGGGACTTGCGTTGCAGGTACATCCATTGAAAATTTCCTTCTTTTAACCAAATGTTTTTTCCCTTTCTCTTTCTTTTTCCGTTAAACTGTGATAAGATTGTACTTTGGATTTTGCACGGCCCTTTTCGTACATGTATCTGAGGAATTATTACCATGTTCTGCTCAATATCATTTTTCAGGAACTCAGTGCAATTGTTCCTGCTCGTGAGAAACAGACAATAGTGAGAACTGCTATTGGCAAGGTATTGGAGTTGCTTATCTGAGATTCTCCTTGAAGTTCTTTGAGTGTTTAGTTGTGCATTGCCTATGGAGAAATTATATTTATATTTTTATGATTCTATCGGTTCATTTATCTATTGTGACCATTTGTGCTTGTATACAGTTTCGTTTGGCAATACAATTGCAGTTTGATTTCCATAGGGCTATTTACAATCTTGGAACTGTACTGGTTAGCTCAACAGTCCTTGACCTTCAACAACTTTATGGCATTTTATTATTAATTTGCCAAAAAATTAATGTCACCGGATCAACGGTCGTAAAAATGGGTTAAACTATGGAGGGTGTAATTCTTATTGTTCTTAATGCAGTATGGGTTAGCAGAAGACATATCAAGAACTGGAGGACACATGAATGCAAAGGAGGTCTCTCCTGATGAATTATACAGCCAATCTGCTATATATATTGCAGCTGCACATGCATTGAAGCCCAATTACTCGGTAATCACATCATGTTTGAGCTGAAGCTTATGGTGTATTTCATATTACTTATATCTACTACTTCTTCACTAAGGGCCCATATGATATCCCAGATTATAATAAGCCTTAACTCCCTACTGTATATTACAACTTTTTCATGTCAGCATGCAGATTTCTCCGTATCCAGTGAAATTGTGACATGGTTATTCTCACTTGTTTTCTTATGCGTCAATCTATTCTTGGCATTGTTGTTTCATTGTTCATTTCTCCTTTTTATATGGAAAGTTCTTTGTTTTTGATCTTTTGTAAGAAAAATATATGGTGTCTGTGAGAATCGTTGCGCATTAAGGTTGGGATTAATTTATCATTTTTTATCTTATGTTTTAATTATTTTTTTGTCTTTACTGCAGGTTTACACCAGTGCTTTAAAGCTTGTGCGTTCTATGGTGAGTCAACCATTTCTTCTGCATTTAATAAATGGTTACCCTATTAATACTGCAGGTGTCCTATATTGGCTAAAAAATGTTGAAACAAGTCGGAATATGAGATTATTTTTTTTTTTGCTTACTATATTTCTGTTCATACGTAGAATTGCCGTTACATAATTACTGTTCTTCGTCTAGTTCAATGCTGTCTATTATCTGTCAGTTCCAATATTCAAATTATTTTTTCCTGTTGGTCGTCTATTTTGGCGCATTAATAGGATATCAGATCAACTCTTTATGGGGCCACCTCACAGTGTGGGATTTTACCTAGTGAGGGATGTGGAATGTACTGTGGAAGCTTTACATTTTATTTTATCTTGAGTTGATTTGCACCATGTCCGAACAAAACTTTTTTATTTTTCCAGCTGCCACTACCATATTTAAAGGTTGGCTATCTGACAGCACCACCTGTGGGAAATCCTGTTGCTCCTCACAGTGACTGGAAACGTTCTCAATTTGTACTAAATCATGAAGGGCTGAAACAGGTAAGAGCTAGTATTCGGTTCAAATGAGCACCACTTCTTAAAATAGGAATGTAAGGCCAAACTCTTGGCAACCAAAAGACATATAACTGCGCATTCATGCATTTCTAAATGTACATTAAAATTGTTGGTGCTTAATTGACCCATTAAAAGTTATTCCACATTTTAGTCCTAAGTGTGCACTAATATACTTCTAAACATGCGTTAACAAATATCTAAATGTGCAATAGTTTTTCGATTTGCAAAATATGTTTTCAAGATAATTTCAATTTAAACTATTCAATATAAAAATCGCAAAATGGTATGATTTTTATATAGGTTGAAGGAATAATATGGTGTAATTTATTCTAAGAACATATTTGTATTTTGGCAACTATAGGGTTAATTTAATTGGAGTGTGAGAATTTAAGTGTGAGAATTTAATGGAGAAAGAAAGGGAAGAACAAACATTTAATTTAGTCTCACTGTATTACTGCTTGAGTAGAAGATGATTGATCCACATTTGCATAATCAATAACGCATAGTTAAGAGCGATGAAAACATTCAGTTCTGTAATTAATGAATGATTGTGATTAATCCCTACGTTCACATTTCAAGAATGGTTCGCATTTTAAACTCTCCCTTTATATACATATATGAAACGATGGGTTTGACCACTGTTAAAGCCATATACTCATAATTTGATCTCTACGAATTAGTAATGTATTTCCGGTAAGATTTTTCAACCCCGTCTAGTTTCTTTTACTTAAATTTACTTGTCTCCAATCCTTTTCCATATGGCATGACTTTCTTTCTTGAATTAGACTTTAACATTATTTTCACGCAGATTAACAAATTTGAGCAAAGACTTTCATCACCAAGTCTTTCTTCAAAATCAGGAGATACGCCCTACAGTAAACCTGTCATAAGAATCGATGTCCCAGACATTGTTTCGGTATCAGCATGTGCTGATCTTACATTGCCACCTGGTGCAGGCCTCTGCATTGATACTGTTCATGGGCCTATATTCTTGGTGAGCTTTTGTGCTTCATGTGGCTGGCACGGTTCTTATTGTTTCTAAATTTTTTAATTTTTTTTTTCTCAATGTTATATGGCTTTTGAGAGTGTAGGGATTTTTAAAAAAAAAAACAACTAACACTTGTAATTTTGGTATTTTGAACTGCAGGTTGCTGAGTCTTGGGAATCTCTTGATGGTTGGCTTGATGCAATCCGACTAATTTACACCATCTATGCACGGGGTAAGAGTGATGTTATGGCTGGTATAATAACAGCCTAAATTGGTACCTGTAAATTATGAGGGAAACACTGAAAATATTATCCGGGAGAGGCAGATTGTATTAGTTTCTGAATTGAATCAGCAAGGATTTGTTGTTGTTATTGCTCTAAAATGAGGCAAGTTTTATATAATTTCTCGAAAACTGTTGTCTATGAAGATGTTGAGTAAAGGAATGATTAAAATTTATTTGTAACAGAATAGTCGCTCCTGCTGCCTTCCTTTTAGGGCTAGTTTATGATGCATGCCTTAAGTTGGGAGTGGAGTTGAAACAATTCATTTTGGTTATTACGGGTGGTGTATTTTGGTGGCTCATTCAATGATTATCTATAGGCCCGTCTGCAAAAACTCGGTGACCCCGGGATTCGGCCCAAACAGGGACTGGGCCAGCGTAATGGCTAGGCTGTTTTAGGTCCTAAAAGAATTGTTGGTCCGATGGTTTTGAGCCCAACCGCTGAATTCCCTCCCAAATTCAAATTCAAATTTAAACTTCTTGAGCCGGTTTCAGGCCGGGCAGGGTCGTACTTGGAACCTGCGGGTTGCTAGATTTTATTGATTGAATAAGAAATCCCAAGTTGAAAACAATGAAGAAATCCAAGCGCAAATCCACCATCAATTGTGTGTTCTAAGGTAGAAAAAACGGAAAAAAAATAAAAACAGGGCAGTCGAAGTCGCGAGTCACGACCTGGCGTCGCGAGCTACACTGGAGGCTCTGTTAAAGTTGCGAAGTTGCGGGTTGCGGCTTGAGTTGCACTGCATGAGGCTCGTCGTAACTCAGAATTGAGTTTCGTTTTTTGCTAAGTGTTGCCAATGAACCTTTCTATTCAATTATGCTCTCAAAACCAATTTTTTTCCAGAAAATAATATATGCCCGAAGCTCATGACCTGCACACCAAAAACGACAAGAACCCGAAGAAAACAACGACAAACGAACGAAAACACATAGAGTCAAAATAAAGAAAAACATGCAATAGAACACAAAACGGAGTAAAAACGGAAGAAACGGCTTAAAACGGGGGAAAAAAAAAAGCAAAACGAACACGAAAAATATAACAAAAATGAGACAAACAAACTCCTCCACACTTAAACTTTTGTTCGTCCCGAACAAAAAAAAAAAAAAGACAAAACTAAAAACGAGCTCGGACAACAGTAATTTTACAAGATAAGCCTCAAAATATTCAACTTCAACAACGAACATTCAAATGGCACATACGAGCATTACACAACTACATGTTTGATCATTATACTTCGACATAGCGTTATCTCAAGTGTGGGAATATATATTTGTGCCTCTCTCAAATTGTTATACAAATAAAAAAAATATAGGAGCACTCAAATTGGTCGATAACAAGTTCAATCATATGTTTGCTCATTGTCTAACTTCTACTCTAAACCAACCAAAATCGATACTAATAAATCAAAAGGTCTTCCAGGGTTGTAACATAGGCTCTTTGGATAGATAGGATAAATATAAGCTAAGTGGCCCAAATTCATTATGAAACTTATAATTGATACGAAGTGCGCTAAACAAAGTACGAACTTGAATAAGTATTGTAAAATGCGGAAGCAATTAGACCGAAGATTTAAAAAACTCTTCAGGGAAGTATCCCACTTCCCCTCAGAGCTCTTTCATTGATAAACCGTATAATGACATAGTTTGGACTTACAAGACTCAAACTCCTTTCTAGTCTAGCCAACACTATTCACGATCCTATCAACTATTTCTCCGACCACATCCCGTGGACTTTCTAAACCTACACTTAATCCCTAAGTGTGAAGTACGAAAATAGTTTGAATGAAAATGAGAAAAATAAACTAAAACAACTTCAGTTCTTGAGCGCGTAAGAACTCTCAAACTGAACTGTGTACAAACTGAACTGAATGTAATAAGCTCGAATATTGCTCTATAAATTACTATCTTCTCAGCAGCCGCAATAAGAGCTTCTCCTAGGGTATTATGAAGTCCTTACGGTTGGAGTCTTCTCCAAGGCATAGGACTCCTTGAGAGATTTTCTTCCATATTTGTAGCTCCACTTTGGTAAGTAGATTTCCTTTTCTCTCTCTCTATAATCTCCTCTTCATACAAACCTCTCTCATCTCTTTTTCCATAAAATCCGAATTCCTACAATATAAAATACCATAATAAGATCCACACAATCTTATATATGAATATAAAATAAACTCAAGTAAGGAAATAAAATATTTAAAGATCTTCCCTTTTCTGTAGTTCCAGGTGCTTGTTCGAACATGAGAACTAATGCCAAACATAAATATCTTTCAATCTCCCCCTTTGGCATCTAGTTCGAAAACAATAGACTTTAAGGAATTCCTGAAAAGTGAAACACAACAAGCACCAGATAATAAAATCACATCAAGGGTTTAGTCCAATCATCCAAACAAAATAATCACTGTGTATAAACATAGTTCTCCCCCTCAGTTCCTGCAGCCATCAAAACAAATAAAATGAATCAAAACAAACTTCCATTCAACCAAAATAAGTAGACAGCCAGACATAGTAGCAGAAGTTTATCAAAACACAACTACAATCAGTAGCAAGCACCACATATCAAAAGCACATAAATATGAGGTTCTAATTACATTAGACCTCCCTACATCCCTCCAGGACACTCAAAAGAAAACAAGCTAACTACTTTCCAGCTTCATACTTGTCAATGGCCTCATCAGTCGAATCCCCCCCAGAGTCAGAATCTTCATCACCTTTTCCAGCACTACCCTTCTCCCCCTTTTTCGAACTACGGGATGCCGAAGGGCCTGTCCTCGTGTTTTTACGCTTCGTTCCCTTGACTTCCTGCAACACTTGACGAAGGTAAGCCTGCTGAGCAGCAACCTTCTTAGCCAGATCATCCCACTCTCCAAGTTGTTGGGCCACGAACTCATCCCAGTTTTTAGGGACCAAGGACGGAGCAAGTTCCCTTGTGACCTTGGTTGTCCTTTTCTCATTCAGTGTGTGAGCACTCACAGATAGTGCCTTTCCAGGGTTCTCAAGAGAATCTTGGTAGCGGGGGTTAACAGAGAAATTATGGGCAGCCAAGAAGGACTAAATAAGACAAGGAAAAGAAAGGGTTTTGCGAGACTCAATGTTAGTGACAAAGGTTTGAAGAATTTCAAAGACAAGATCTCCAAAGCTGAAAACCTTCCCAATCATGACCCAATAGATGACTTTACTCTGTAACTCAGTGAACAGAGTTTTGTTTGAAGTAGGGGTCCAGTTACCAGCACCAATTTTATGCAACAGATTAGCAACTAAACAGAGAGAACTTACAGGCAGATTTGAACCGGGCCAAGTGTCTAATTGACCAGAAGTAAGAACTTTGGTCATGGCGTCCAGATCAACCTCCGTGAGGGAAGAGTTATCAATATCAGAGGGCAAACCAAGATGTACATTAAACAAGGCAAGAGACACATTAATCACACGATTTCGAAGAAAAAGCTTGTGAAAATGAGGGCTATCAGAAACAAACACAACAGAGGTGAGATTGGCATAGAACACTTTTACGACTTGGCCACAAAAAGGTTGAAGATCAGACACGGTTTTAGACAAACCGACAGACTCTATCAAGCGGAGAATACCCAAATCAGCGAACTTACCGTCTCCCACAGGATGCTCAGATCAGAACCCATAAGACCCAAAATTGATAAAGCGTTCATGGGCAGTCTCTGTATAGAACCTGTTGGTAAAGGTGTTCTCAAGGTCATACGCATCATCTTCAGGTTCAGGTGGAACAGGAGGCTCATCGATGGATTCTTTTCCTCTTCGGCGAGTGGAGCGGCGCACCGTAATTTTAGTTGGAGGCGTCCGTTGATCGGAATGGACTTCAACCAGAGTTGCTGCGGTGTCGTCCTTTTCTCCCTCGGTAGTCATTGTTTTGGTCGCTGACTTGGTGGCAGACGTTGGAACTGCAGAAGACTCCCCCTGAGTCTGAACCACAAGAAACTCTTCAAACCCAGAGAGACCAGGTACTCCAGGAGCCAACGGAGAGGGTTCAAAGTTCTTGCCGACGTTGTCTGATTTGGACGGAGAACCAAAAGTGGTAGCGGTTAGAGAAACAAACTTTTTGGGCGGAGGAGATTCCAGAGATGGAGATTTTGCCGGCGGAGTAGACTCTCGCTGAGAACTTGCAGAAATAGAGAGACGACGATGCTTCAACCTTTTCTCCTTGTGCTTCTTCAGTCGCTTCTTTGATTTGTCTTTACTTCCAGCCATGGGAGAAGGAATGCGATTGAGAATGATGAAACTAGGGTTTTGGTCGAAAAGGAGAGAAGAGAGAGTAAAGGAAATGAAATATGAAGAAGAGAGAATGATTAAAAAGATGGAGAATCGTGAGAGATTAAAAGAAGTTATGACATGAATAACTGCAAAAAGCAATTTCCGAGTTTCAAGGTGAGGAGAGAGAAAGAGACGTTGGCAAGTTGGACGGTTTAGAGCAAAACTGGTCCCTCCAAATCCGAAATTCAAACACAATAAAACTCCCCACAAAGATAACTTCTCACAATATTTCAAAACTTAGGAAAGAAATCTGATTTTATTCCCAAATATATATTCTCCACAAAATTTTAGACTCAAATAGCTCAAGTTCAATAAGGAAACCATATGCAATTATGCCTAAAGATGAAAAATGAAATAAAGGAAAATAAAATCGCACACAAGATACACTAGATTCATAAAATCTTTTCCTTCTCAACTTAAACAAAATTGATGAAAACTGTAACACCCCGCCTAGACTTACTAAAATCAGAGTAAATTTTTCGCGCTATAAATGGAAAGAGACTGATTTAATTTTCGAAAACTCATATTAATTTTTCGAAAATACTTTAACTTTAAGACGCGGGATGCTACTCAACTTTAATCTTTATCTTTAATCTTTATCTCTTTAATCTAAATGCATGCGACCAAGTGAAATCCATTCTAGAATTAAGGCCATGAATAATACCGGATTAAGCATGCATATTTTGAAAGTCTGACATAATCTGAAATCTGAAAT